CAAGTAAAGCTCGAGAGAGAGAGAGAGAGAGAGAGAGAGAGAGAGAGAGAGAGAGAGAGAGAGAGAGAGAGAGAGAGAGAGAGAGAGAGAGAGAGAGAGAGAGAGAGAGAGAGAAAGAGAAGAAAGAAAGAGAGAGAGAAGAGAGAGAAAAAAAACCACTCAAAACCCACCGTGTCCATATCCGTAACTCCTGTGACCGTAGCCGTAGCTCCGTCGTCCGTATCCAGAGCTCCTGTGTCCGTGGCGTCCGTACCTCCTGCTAGCTACTGGTTCCCCGCACGCAAATACTGACAGGAGGAGCATCAGGAGAGTCAGGAAGATCTGCAAGAGGGAGTGACGTTAAATAAAATGTATCAAACGGTATATGGATCTATGAAAATAATAAAAAATAATATTCTATGAAAGTGTTATATTTTTGTTATTGTTTACATGCAAACATAAACATACAGACAGATACAGACACTGCCACAGTTATAGACACACATACACACATCCACGCACATATTACCAAACGTACATAATTTGTCTTAATAGGTTTGGCCTTGTCTAACGGCTGGATTGTTAAATCGTACGCGGGCCGACCCAATGAATATTCGTACATACAGACATGCATTTACACAAAAATAAATAAATATTTGTTTTTCTACCAGATATATGTACATTTATCTATCTATCTGTACGGTAGATATGTATGTCTCGATTGACAGATATCCGTATAATGAATGTTTATTGGGTCGGGCCTCGTACAGTTTTAGCAAACCGGCCTTATAAGTAAATTTTAAAACAGTAAAGTCTCAGATGCATCTGCGTACAAAAAGTTCTGATATCTGAATCTAATTAAGATAAGAAAACTGAACAGAATATGAAGAAAATACAGGCAGAATATAAGAACTTTCCTAATCTATGGAAATGGAAGCAAGAGATAAGAACTGAAGAGAGATGTACCTTAGTGGGAGCCATGGTGTTGACAAGCAGCTAGTAATTTAGACGCGAATCCGTGACTGTACAGAGCAGTACCTTGCCTCAGCTTTTATAGCGGCCGCCAATGTCAACAGACTCATTTTCTGAGGGAAAATATAGTTAACTACAGTGGGTAAGAATTCTGGGTTTTGAGTGCTGTAATTCGCATGTAGCAATCGGCCAGCCAGGCAGTCGATCGCGCTTCTATATGGATCGGTATGTATTAGATGTATGATAACATTTTATATACAAGTGCACACACACACACACACATACACACACACGTATACGCTCACAAATATAATATATATATATATATATATATATATATATATATATATATATATATATATTCACATGATTTATAATATATGTATATATGAATGTATACATATATGTATCTGTATATGTATATTTATTCACACACACACACAACACACACACAGACACACACACACACACACACATATATATATAATATATATATATATATATATATATATATATATATATATATATATGTATGCATATAGAGATATATTTTTGTAGTTGCCATTGTCGTTGATATTTATGTTCAGACTTTCACACACAACCCCAAGTTGCACACACTAATCGCAGTAATGCTAACAGTGATAATGACATCATCAAATACACTGATGATAATGATGATAGGAATGATAGGGAGTAATATAAGATTTTTTTTAATGAACAAACCGATCACGATGACAATGGTACTAAGGACAAAATGATAATAGATGATGACTGTGATAATAATGATACTTAAATTAATGGTTGTAATAAAAATATGAATATCAATTATCATAATAATGATAATAAATCAAAAATATAAGTAATAAAGCTAATAATGAGAATAATAGTAATGATATACAATTGTAATAGCAATGAAAACAACATTAACAACAACTGATAACAACAATAATGATAGTGGTAATGACTAATTTGACAATAGTGATGATAACAATGATGGCAGTAAATGATAATATGATTATGATAATGATAACTGTAATGAGCCTAAAGATAGTTGTGATAATGAAAAAAATGACAGAATCAATTATCATAATCATTATTTTCAAATTCTTATTATGTTTATAATTTTTATGATAATTATTATCGATATGAATTTTATGATCATTATTATAATTTTTATTATAATAATGATAATAAAGATGATAGTAATAACAATGATAATCACCATCATTATCATTATCTTATTCATTATCATTACTATCATTGTTATTATTATCATTATTCTTATCATTATTATCATTATTAGTATTGTCGTTGTTATCATTGTCACTATATCCATTGCATTGTCATCATTATTGCCGTTGCCATTCATGGAATTGCATCCTTCTTACAATTCTATTAGTACTATTACTATTGTCTTCATAGGTGTCATTACCACTGTATATCATTACTGTCATTACCTTTGTAATAATCATATTGATATCACCTTTATCAAGAAATACATTATTTTCATAATAACTTTCAGTTTGAATTTACTTTATGTGTATTGCTTTATTACTACCATTATCATTATAATTAATGCAATCATCATTAACCTTACCTTTATCATTTTTATTATTCTTAATGCCATATCTGCCATCACCGTTACCATTCTTATCATAATTATCACCATTATTACTTTCTTTGCCCTCTGATTACCTCGACAGCATATAGAAATAGATGTAAATACTATTCATAAACTCGATCTAAAGTTTAGATTGCAGGAAGCGGTACAGTCAATCCTGTTCATAATCAGTGGATTTCGGGAAAGATCGTGTCAAAACCCGAATATCAAATATACAATCCTTCTTACGATACTACTATCACTGTTACTTTTACCTTCTAAAGCATTGTTACTAGTATCTATCATTATCGTCATTAAACCTTTGTCAAAAATATGATTAGATGCTGTATTTTATTATCAATAACAGCCAGGACAGGAAATTCTTTGTATTCTATATATACACATACATCCACATATTTCCCTAATTAAATAAAAACTAATAGTCTTTTCCAAAGAACGAGAAGAAGACAAAAAAAAAAAAAAAAAAAAAAGAATAAAATAACAAAAAGATAATAATTGTCAAAGTAGGAAAAAAGTGGCGCGTATGACACTGAATCGGTTGCTTGAGAAAGTACTTTTGCAATCGCGTCTAATAGTGCACAATTACATCACGCGTTTGGTTTGATTGGCCATTTAGCTCTCCCTGTGTCTGTTTATTTCTATCTATCTGTCTGTCGTTATCTCTCTCTCTATCTATCAATCTCTGTCTCTCCTCATCTCTCTCTCTATCTATTTATCAGTCTCCATTTCTCACTTTGTTTTTCTTTCACCCTGTCCATCTCTCTCTCTCTATCCATTTCTGACCCTCTCTTTCTCTCCTCTCTCTCTCCATATCTCTTTCTCTCTCTCCACCTCTCTTTCTCTTTCTCTCCATATCTCTTTCTCTCTCTCCACCTCTCTTTCTCTTTCTCTCCATATCTCTTTCTCTCTCTCCACCTCTCTTTCTCTTTCTCTCCATATCTCTTTCTCTCTCTCCACCTCTCTTTCTCTTTCTCTTCATCTCTCTTTCTCTGTAAACACATGTGTGTGTGTTTGAGATCTGACAGGTCGGTTGTTTACAATGAGTTATTCTCTGAAGTTATTGCTTAACCACAATTTGTACAAATCTCTGTCTGTAAAATAAATATCAACACACAACTAACGCACATACTCACATTCACATACACATTCACACATACACACACAAGCACACACACACACGCACACACATACACACACATATTAATATTCATACACCCTTCTCTCTCCCTCTCCATTTCTCTCTCTCTCTCTCCCTTCCCTCCACACACATGTATATGCATAAATGAATATAGATATATGAGTGTGTGTGCGTGTGTGTGTTTGAAATCTGACAGGTCGGTTGTCAGCTATGATTTATTCTAGGAAATTATTCTTAGCCACAAGTTGTACAAATCTCTGCCTGTAAAATGGATATCAACACATATAACAAACTCACATACTCATACACATTGACACATACACACAGAAACACACACACAGGCAACCGCAAACGCATACATATATGCATACACTCATATCCACACACACACACGTACATACACATACAAACTTGTTTTTCACAAACTGATTCGAATTATAAATAACTATGTTTGATGTCAAAAGTGATGTCATGGCGCTCGCAAGGCATATAAAATTTGACTGATATAAAAGGTGATTTTCTATTTCATATTCAGGTAATATATCTACTTATAGGTCTATATGAAAATTACTATAGAACATAATGAAAAAAAAAAAAAAAAAAAAAAACAGGTGAAAGGATAAGACGTTTTTCTTTTCATAATATAAGTATATTTAGCCCCTGTGAACCATTCGACTTTAATTTCATTCTCTCCATTTTTTAAAAAGTTATTTAGATCTAATGTTCACAATGGAGATCGCCGGGAAGGAAGCTCGTCGCCTGCTAGTGATAACCTGAAAAATAGATAAAATGCTCTTACTATTATCATTCAGTTTGTAGTGTTGATATTATAATATCATAGTGACTATTATGGTGAAGTGAGAGAGGAGAGAGAGAGAGAGAGAAAAAAAGAAAAGAAAAAGAGAGAGAGAGAGAGAGAGAAAGAAATGGTAAGAAATGAAGAGAGAGTGAAATAGGGATAGAGAGAGATTTTGAGTTATAGATAAACATAGAGGGAAGACTGTAAAAAAAGTTTAGAAAGAAATAATCTGACTAAACCCACCGTATCCATAGCCATAACTCCTATGGCCATAACCATAGCTCCTTTGGCCATACCCGCCGCCGTGTCCGTATCCGTAGCTCCTGTGTCCGTATCCTCCGCCGTAGCCGTAGCCATAGCTCCGGTATCCCGGTTCAGCCTCAGGGTTTCCGTTTGCGAAAGCCAACAGGAAGACCATCACGAGGGCGAACAGAACCTTCAATAGGAAAAAAGAAAAAATAGTTAGGTCGATGCGATGAATCAATCTGGAA